TAATTAAATAATAATATATATATATAATATATATATATATATATATATATATATATATATATATATATATATATATATATATATATATATATATATAATTAAATATATTCATTAGACTTGGTGGTGTAGAAAGTAGATTTAAATCAGTTTAACCTTTATTTACATGTAATGTATCATATTCAGTATAAATAAATTAAATTTCAGAGTTATTTATATAATAAGCTATATAAAAGTAAATAATAAAATATTTTATTATATTTTTTAATTAATAGAAATTATTTTATCTTAGAAAAAAATGACAATTAAATATTAATTTTTAAATAAGGAAACTTTTAAATAAAAAACTTTATTTTATAATGTTTATTCGCTTCTAATTTCGACAAAAATATATCCGCAATTAAACTGAAAATAATTTCACATAGATTAAAGTCTTATAGAAAAATAGTTATAAAAGGTATAAAAGGAGTAATATAACTAATTATTATATTAAACAAAAAATAATATATTATTTTAATTTTAAATTGTAATTTATTATTTAATTATAGTCTAATGAAAAAAATCTAATATTTATTAAAGAATTCAAAGAATATATTGAAACTCAGAAAAATCTCATATAATAAATTACTAATTAAGGAGAAAATTAATTTTTAAATGCTGCTTATCCATATGACTAAGCATTTCTTTCTTAAAATTTTATTGATGTGTATAATAATAATTAATATATAATTTATTGTATTATTATATTTACTTATTTTAAAAATAAATTTAAAAAGTGATTAAAAATAATAAAATGAAATTTAAAAAGAATAAAATTATAATGAAAATTATGAAATCATATCTTAAGAAGTAGATTCTTTTTTAAATATAACAAAATCTTTTTCATAAAATAAAAATGAAATAAATTAAAAAATTAACAAATTTGTTAATGATTTCAATAAAAATTATGGAAATATAGAAAATTATACAAAATTATTACCAAAGCCTGTATTTAAAAAAAAAAATTTAAAAATATGAAAATAAAATAAAAATTTATAAAAATATTAAAATTAATAATATAATGCAAATATATAAACTTAATAAAAAAATATAAATTAAATTTTATATATTAATAAAATAATATATATTTATATTTTATTATTATATATATTTATTTATATATTTATATATATATATATATTTTATATTTACTTATTTTTAAAATTAGCTAGAAGATGTAGTAATTTTAATAAATGAGATTTATTAAAATATTTTGATAAATAAAATCGAAAATATTCACTAAAAATTTACTAAAATATCATTAGAAAGATTTATTTTCAATAAAATATATGATAAATTATTTCCAATATACATAAAGAAATACGAATAGCAAGAATTATAATTCAGAAAATAATAATAATAAATAATTTAAAAAATGGAAATTCGAGAAATATTTAAGTTTTTGGATTCAAAAAAAGGTTTTGGCTTATAAAAGATGAAGAAAAGGAAATATTAACAATCTCAAAAAAAAATAATAAAAGACCCTACAATGAATCTATTAACGAACTAGAAAAAATAAAACTAACTAACTCTCCAAGAGAAAAACTAAAGTATACTATGATGATGAGATCTATGATGAGAGCTGCAGTTATAGATTTTCATAAAGGAAAAGAAGAACTAAATAGTATGGACGATGAATTACCTGTATGTATTTATATTATATTGGCTAGCTAAATCGATAATTTATTTGCAGAAATTTCGATAGTGGAGGATTTTGTTAATTTAGATCCATATATTGAAAATGAATAAAGATTTTTGACTAATTTAAGGGTCTCTGCTGAGTATATTAAAAATGAGTGGTCAATTGATAATTGATTTAGATTTTATTTATATATTTATTAAATATATATAGAAAAATAAAAAAGTTTTCTAAAAATAATGTATAATTTTATTTTTCTTTATATAAAATAATATAATTTATAAATTGAAGTGAAAAAAAAAATATAATAATTATATTAAATACATATATATAAATATATATATATATATTTATTTATATATATATAATTAATAAATATTTATTAAATATAAAATTATTTTTATTTTTATCTTTTTTTCATTTTAAAATTTAAATTATAAAACACAAATATTTTTATTTTATTATCAAATTTTTATATATATTTTAATTTCTATAAACTATTTTAATAATAAAAATTTATTTTATATTAATATATATTCTTTAACTTCATATTTTTTATAAAAAATTATAAAAACTTTTTTTATTTTATTAAAAACATTTTTAATATTTTATATTAATATTATAAAATTATCTTTTATTTATTAAATAGGATATAGTCAATATTTTTGTTTATTACTTTTTATATTACCTTTTTATTTTATATAGTTTTAATTTTTTCTTCCTGTATAATGATTTTATTACTAGTTTATATAATTTTATATTCTATTGATGACTAATAACGCAAATATTACATTATAAAATTCAGTTTATAAAAATTGTAGTTTTATTCTAATAATCCTATTGCTTTACCAAATCTACTGAAAATGGTTAATTTTTATAAGATCTATTATCAATCCATAAACTAACTATTTTAGATTATTTTTTTTGCATATTTTTTAATATTATTTATTATTAATATATTGTATATTTGGAAGAGTTTACCACTTCTTTTATTTATTGTAAGTACGAATTCTAAATATGACTTCTTTCTTTATCATATGTAGAAATTATTAATCCAAAATATAATTTCCATTATTTATTTAGAGGTGAGCATAAAATTTTCTTCTCATTTAATAAAGTTACTACTATTCATTAAACCTTATCTATTGTTTTTATATTTATATTATTAAAGAATTTCAATTGATTATTTTAATGAATATAATAAAAATAATGCAGTGTAAAGATTAAGTTAAAATTATATAATTTTTATATATATATATATTTAAATAAAATAATTATATAAACTAAATTAATAACTTTTTATATTTTTTATTTTTTTTTAAAAAAAAAAAAAACAAAAAGAAATAATTTTATTTTTTATTTTAAAAAAAAAATTAAAACAAATATTAACTTTTCATTAATTAAATATACATTATAATTTCTATATACTTTCTTTTGCTTTTTATTTTTATTTTTCATATTCTACTAAAAGTATTTTCATATCTTCTTATGTTTCTGTACATTTATTTTCCAATTCTTTAATAATTCTTTCCTTTTATTTAATACTGTTAGTATATTATAAAATCTATATATTAAATCCATCCTATTAACTTTTAATTAAATTATTTAATTCAATAACATTTTCTTCTTTTTTTTTGATATTTTATTTACATTCTTCTAACAAAACAATTAATTCTTTAATTTTTTCTTATTATTCTTTTAATTAATTTTTTAAGTCAAATATTTCTTTATCTTATTTTAATTTAACATCCCCGAATTCCTATTCAAACATTCCAATTAACTTTTTCTTTTCATTTAATTAATTAATTGCATTTTCAGCTTCGTCATTAGATTATTAAATTTATTATTCAAGTTCTTCAATAATTAGATTCTATTTATCAAATTTTTTTTATAATTTATTTAAATCTTCAATATAACCTAATTCTTTATTTTTTATTTTCTCAATTTAACTTTTAAGTTAATCAATTGTATCATTTTTATCATCCAACATCTGTAATTAAATAATATTAATACAAATATATAAATGTATGTATATATATATATATATATATTGATATTAATTTTTATATTATTACTTTATTTTTAGTACTTATTGTTTATATATATTCTTCTAATTCTTCTTCTATATTTTCATAATTCTTAAGTTTAATTCTTAATTTTTCGAGTTCTTAGAACTCATTAATTTCTTTTTCTTATAATTCTTTATAATTTTTTTCAAAATGTTATCTTTCATTATATATTTTTTCTTTTTCCTATAATATTTAAGTAATTTCTTTTTCAAATAAAGTTTTTTTATTTTCAAGTTCTTTTTAAGCTATTTCTTTATCATTTACAATTTCTAATACATCCTTTTTTATTTTCATAAGTGAAGATTATAATTCTAAAATCATATTATGTTATTCTTTATCTCTTCCATATTATACTTTCAATAATTACCTTTAATCTTATTCTTATTTGCATTTTTCTTAATATGCAGTATTTAGCAATTTATATTTTTCATTGTTTTAGGTTAACACTCGCTTAAATTCATCTTCTAAGGAATCTAAATCATCTCTAAATTATTTTTCTTTTTCATTTATAATTTATTTTTATTTTTTATCAATTTCTTGTTCTTTTTATTAATATTCTTGCTGTATTTCTCTTATTTATTATTCGAATTTATGTGTTATTTCATTTGTTTTTTTTTCGTGTTTATATTCCCATTCTTTACATAAATCTAATAATTCTTAAACTTTATTTTTTAGAGTTTAATTATCATTTATGATTAACTATTGTTTTTTTATTTAAAAAAAATATTGTTTTTTTTTACTTTATTCTCATCTATTAAATTTTCGTATTTTTTTCTTATTTCTTCATTTCTCAGTAAATTATTTGTTGCTTAATCTAGCGCTTTTTAGTGAAATTCACTTAGTGTTTTCTCATTTTCTCTTAGTCTTCCTTTCATTTCATTTAATTCTTCATATTGATTTTTTATTTCATTTTAAAATTTATCTATTTAATCATTTCTATAATTAAATATTATTTTTAAGTTATTTTAACAAAAAAATATTATTTTAACTTTAAGGCTAATTCTCGATGATATGAACCGTTTTCTTTTATAAGTTCAGTAATTCTTATTTATAAATTATCTACAATTTCTTCTTTTTTTTCATTTTTATTTAAAATTTTTATCCTTTCGTTTTTTAAGTCATTAAATTATTCCTCTAAAAATGTCTTTTCTTTATTTAATTGCTTTATTTTTTAATTTTAAGTCCTATTTTATTCCTATAGATTATTCATATCTTCTTACATTTATTCGACTTTTTATTACCAAAACTTTTCGGTTAAATCAACTTTTTAAGTAAGATCTTTTTAAGCTTATTCAGCTTATTAAAGCTATTATTAAAATTATAAAAAAACATTATTAGTTTATATATCTTAAAATTATTAATAATTGTTATTATTATTTTGATTAATTTATTAGTTATTTTAGAAAAGATGCTATTAGTTATTTAAATGAGACTAGTTTTAATAATTTTAATTATTATATAAATAATTTTAATTTTAATTTTAGGAATTCAAATTATTTTCTTTTATTTATTATTTTATAGATATTTTATTTGTTTTATTATTATTTATTACTATATTATTATTTTCGAAGATTTTATTTAAATTTTATCCGTCTATTTTTTCTATTTTATGAATATTTTTTAAATTTTATAATCCTTTTAAGTATATTTCTTTGTTCTCATTACACAAAGGATTACTATTTTTTCCAAATTCAAATATAATTTCTTATAAACAATTTAAATCTTATATATGTTATAGTTATTATACATCTTTTATTTTATTGTTTCTCAAATCAATATGCTTTATTTTATATTTTTATCCATTTAATTCTTCTAAGCCTTATATATTATGTATTCTATTATGCGCAAGGATTATCTTTTCTAGCTTATATAAGAATTATAGACCTTGAATTATTGTTATTTTATTACAACTTAAATTAAGGACTTATAAATTATTTAAAGAATTTAATCCTTCAATTTTTTATATATTATTTGAACTCAAATTTATAAATTGAAGTTTTTCAAATATTTAAAGTCCCTTTTTTTTTTAAAAAAATGCATACTATATTTATTATATATTTTAATTTATGTATTATTTTTATTTTTTTAATGAATTTTTTATACTTTTTTAAAAATTTTTATACATTCATGCTCTTTAAGTTTTCACTGTGCATTATTCGGAGATTTTGAATAGAAAGCTTATCTTAAAGGTCTATTATTTCAGAAATACTTTAGTCTTTTATATTATATGAAGAATATTCTTTTATTTCAATTTCGGAGTTTTCGCTCATATTTTTGCCTTAATTTCTATCGTTTTCAGGAGAATTTTGAAATTCCATATTTTTTTTAATTTATATTTAAATGTGTATAGTTTTATAATTATTTTTATTAAAAAAAAAAAATTTAAATTTATTATTTAATATTTTAATAAATATATATATATATATATATATATATGTATATAAAAGTAATAAAAATATCTATATATTTATAAAGACTTATTCCTCAATTTTTTTTCAAGAATAGACACTCAATTTTTTCCAAAAAATTACTCTGATCGGTCCTCTTTGCTGTATTATTTTATATAAAAGGATGTTAATAAGCTGTATTTAAATCCATTCTTTTATTAGGATCTTTTATTAATATTTTTTTAATAAAATCTACACCAGCAAATGACAAAGGTCCACTAAATTCAATATCCAACTTGTTAAAAAAATATATATATAAATAAAATACTATTTTTTTACATTCAAAACTTTATCATAAGTAGAATCATTGCTTTTACCTGAAAAAGGTGCATTTCCGAAAATCATTTCATATGCTAAAATTCCGACACTCCAAACATCAACAGAAAAATCATATTATTTTCCTTGAATCATTTCCGGGCTTAAATAATCAAGTGTACCACAGAAAGTTTATCTTAGCAAATCGTTTTATACAATTGTTGCATATCCAAAATCACATAATTTGAGAACTCCCTTTATTATAATGATAATATATATATATATATATATAAATATTTTTATAATTATAAATATTAATATATATTTATATATATATAATTTTATATATATTTTTATATTTATTTATTATAAAGATACATTTTGAAGTAATATATTTTCAGGTTTTATATCTCTGTGTACTATTCCTCTACTATGTAAATATTACAATGCTTCTATGATTTACATTACATATAAAGAAGCCTTTGTTTCATTATATCTTTTATATGGTTATTTTTTTAAATCACTAAATAATTCTATACCAAATGCTAGTTCTTGTATTAAATATAAAGTATCATTTTCAAAAAAATAGCCATATAAATTTACTATATTAGGATGGTTTATAATGGATTATGTTTTTATTTCATTTACTATATCTTATGTTAGTTAAAATTCATTTATTGTCGCTATTTTTATTTATTTTAAAGCTACTTGATATCCTGTTTATTTATCCCTATATATATTTTTTTTATATACAAAATATTTTTAATACACTGCTGCGTATACTTCTGAAAATTTACCGCTACCAAGTTTTTTTCCTACTTTAAAGTTATTAATTGAATATTTTAATTAATTATCTAATTATTTATTTGGTGTAATAGGATCACTTATTTTAATATTTAAAATTTTTGTTTAATCAAACAAATTAGAATCCTATATAGTTGTGCTATTACTGTTACTTTTGTTAGAATTGTCCTATGATTATATATTATTTGAAGCTTTTTAATTAATTGATATAGAATCTTTAATGTTATTATTTTTGGAAAATAAAAAATTATTATTATCTTATATAATATATTTTTTATCAATACTTTAATCATTTAAAAAACCATTATAATCTAAACTATGAAAAAATATATTATTAGTAGCTACTTATTCATTTTTAAATATTGTTTAACTATTATTAATTAATTATTTGTAGTTTTATTTCATTTTGGCAGACTGTATTATTGATTGTATTTCTAAATTATCATTAATTTTAAGACTTAAATTAATACATTATTATTATTATTATTATTATTATTATTATTATTATTATTATTATTATTATTATTATTATTATTATTTATCATTTTAATTTTCATAATTTTATTTATTTTTTGTTTTATCATCATTATTTTTATATTTAATTGTTTCTTTTTTTTTTATAATCTACTATTTTTCATCTTATATTTAGTCTTATGTAATAAAAATTTAATTTATTTATTCTTTTTATTTATTTATATATTCATAAATTATGTCTTCAATTAATATTTATTAATTTATTAAATTAATATCATTTGTATTATTGTTTTCTACATTTATTAGTTTATTCTAATTTAAATCATTTTTTTGCATAATTTTATCTTTTTTAGAATTTTAACTACCTATATCATCTAAATCTTATTATACTAAGCTTTTTAAATTTTTATTATATTTTAATATATATAGGGAGATTAAAATCTAAAAATTTTTACATTTTTTCTTATTATCGAAACAAATATTCCCTATATTCAGGTGAATTTTAAAAATCTTCATATTGTTATTTGATTTAGTTAAATAAAGTCGAAAAAGTCATTTCTATTTCTTTTATTTGTTTTAATGTTTAGATGATAAATTATGCTTCAATTTTTTATTTGCTAAAAATTTCTAATGTTTTTTCTTTTAAATCATCACAGGAAATTTCAAAAGTAAATTATGTCCTAAAAACTTTTATTTATTTATTTTATTATATCATAATTATATTATTTTATTATTTTATAATTTGTGTTATATTGTTAATTAACTTTTAAAAAAATTATAATATTATTATAATTATTTAAAGTTTTTTTAATAAATAATAAATGATAAAATTTATGATAATTATTTTTAAAAAAAACATATTATATATATTATTAAAAATATATAAAGGCATTTATATATAATATATAAAATTTAAATAGAAAATATATATATATATATATATATATATATATATATATATATATTTATATACATATATCAACATTTATTTACATGTATATATTTTTATTTATATTTAGTAAATTAAAAGTTATATTTTATTATTTTTTTATATCATTTTTTAAAAGAATTTTATTTAAAAATAATTTTAAAATTTATTATAAATTATAATTTATTATTTTAAATATTTAATTATATTTATATAAAATATATATTAATTTTATTTATTTATATATTTATAAATAAATATAATTAAGTATTCATTTTTCTTAATAAATAATTAAAAATATTTAAAAGATTAAAAGATTAAAAGAATAATAGAAAAAAAAAATATATAATATATAAATAATTTTTTTTTTATATTAAATAAAATAATATATAAAATGGATTTTGATTAAAAAGGTTTTTGCGAATCAATAATAGGATTATAATTTATCGGTAACCAATTCGTATTTGTTAAAACTTTAGATAAAGGCCAATTTGGATAAGTTTGGGTTGGCAAAGATGTCAAAATTAACGAATTAGTAGCCATAAAATAAATTAGCACAAAAAAAAAAAATGAATATAATTTAGAATTAGTAAAAAGAGAAATTGCTATAATGAAATAACTCGAAAAAAATGATAATATAGTTTAGTTTAAAGGTGAAATAAAAGAAAGCGATTACATATATATAATAATGGAATTATGTGAATAAAACTTACATTAAAAAATATGTCAATTAAGAAAACAAAAGCAAAGAAAAGTAGCTTTGGAAGAAGTAGAGGCCATATGTAATAAAAATATAAATATAATATATATATTATATTTATATAGTGTATATGAAACAAATATTAAATGCTTTTAAACCTTTATAAAAATTAGGAATTATACATAGAGATGTAAAATTAAAAAACATTTTAGTTAAAAATGATACATTGAAATTAGCTGATTTTGGATTGGCAATTTAATAAAATATTGCATAAAGTTAAGTTGGAACTCCATATACTAAAGCACCTGAAGTTTATGAAGGATCTTAAATTTATACAAGTAAAAGCGATATTTGGTCTTTAGGTATTATATTTTATTAAATGCTTTTTGATTTAAATTATCCGTTTTCGGCTAAGGATGAGAATGAACTATAGAAAAAAATTAAATAAAGAGATCCTGAATATAATTTATAAGGAATATGTATTTCTGATACAACTATAAAATTATTAAAATAAATGCTTGAAATGTATATATATATATATATATATATATATATATATATATATATATATATATATATATATTAATATCATATATAATAATAGAAATCCCTAAAAAAGAATAGATTGGAATTAATTATTCAATCATTAATATTTCGTTAGTGATTTTAGTTAATTAAGTGCAATGCTAAGCTTATCGGGAAATAGTGAAGATTAATAAAAAAAAGAAATTGAGAATACTATATTTACATTTACTTAGTAAGAAAATATAATTTAAAATAAAACTATTGAAATTAATAATATAGATGCTTAAAATACATCTAATTCTTAAATAAGTTTGAAAAAATTATATAAAAAAATTAAGTATTATTTTTAAAAGTTTCTTAATATATTTTTTTTTTATATATATAAAAATTAAAGTTTATTAATAAAATATATAAACGGATTAATAAATTTTAAGTTTTCTTTAAGAAACTTTAATAAATTCATTCTTGATTAATAAAATTGATGACTCCATTAAAGATAATCAAGAATTATAAAAGTTTTGTTCAGGCGTTTAATTTGAATTAAGTTTGTAATTAATATCTTTAGCAAAATCACTTAATAAAGATAAATAATTGAACGAAATATTTTTAGAATTTTTCAATGAATCTAAATTAAATATTATACAATATTTATCTGAACCAAGGTAAATCAAAGAAATTGAATAATAAGATAAATAGAGATGCTTGAAAACTCTAAAGAAATATTATACAAATGTATTAGGGTAATGTTAGATTATATATGAGAACGGAGAAAATTAAAAGGCTGTTTAGTTTTTAAATCATGCTTATGATATTTTATGTTGTTTTATTTTACTTAAAACTAATGAAACTAAAATTTTAAACGAAAAAATAGTAAATTCTAAATATAATTTATTTTTTAAATAATTATAGAATTAATCGATTTAATATTTATGAAATTTCTTATTATATTTTTTATTTTATTTTTTAAAATAATTGATAAATATAAATTTTTTTATATTAATTTTTTTTATTTATTTATATATATATATAAATTTAATATATACATCTTTTATTTTATTTAATCAATATTTGGTTATTTCAAATATAAAATTTCAATAAAGCCAGCGTAGCTCAGTTGGTTAGAGCGCGAGTCTCATAATCTCGAGGCCGAGGGTTCAATCCCCTCCGCCGGCATTTTTTTATTTTAATTTATAATAAAAATTTTAAAATAATTATTATATAATTTTTTTATTTTTATATATATGTATGTATAATATATGTTTATATTTAAGTTTTTTTTAATTTTAGTTTTTATATATTTTAATATTTATTAGTTTATTTTATATTTATATATATATTTCATAAAACAATTACAAAAAAAATTATATAAATAATGGAAAATATTAATGAATTACTGAGAAAAAGAAAATTTCAAAGTAACAAAATAAAATTTATAAATAGAAATAAATTCTTATTTTTTTAGAAAAATAATAAAAAATTAATTTTGTTAGCAAAATTAAAAGAAAATTTAAAGATTAATAGTAATATATTTTGTAAGAATAAAATTAAAAATTATAAAATGATGTTTTAGCTGATAAAAAAAATGAGTTTTATAATTAAGTAATTTTTTGTATATAATTAATTATTTATTTTATTTAAAAAAAAAAGCTTTTTTCAGGAAAAATTTAATAAGATAATAATGATGAATCTTAAGATATTAGAAAGCAAAAAAAATAATAAGATGTACAAAATAAACAAAAATAAATAAAAAAAAGAGAAAAATTCAACCGAAAATAATTTAAATTTTAATTGAAATAAGAAAAAATCGAAAAAGAAAAAGCTATTGAAAAAGCTAAATAATAAAAAGAAAGGGAAAGAAAAAAAGTTAGAAAAATATTCACATAAAAAACTAAAAAAGGATAACCAATTATGAAGAATTATATAAATTATTTAGTAGAAAAAATCGAAAAAAATAATTTTAAATTATGAAAAATTAAAATTAAAATTTTATATATATATATATATATATTGCATATAATTTAAAAACAATATATTCTTTTAAATATATAAGTAATTTTTTATTATTGAATATAAAAAAGTATTATTTTTCTATTTTTTAAATTAAGATTAAAAAAATAGTATTTATATATTATTTTCAAAAAATTTATTTATTAATAGTGAAAAATTATTGATGAAACTTTAAAGTTTTTAATTAATTCTTAAAATTAATATACTTATAATTATTTATATTTTATCACTAAACAGATAAAAAAAAATAATATAATATATTTTGTTAAAATATTTAATAATATTATATTGATAAATAATATGTTAAAATTAAATAAAATTATTTGATAGATTAAATAAATTTTCATTATTTAATATATTAAACTAAATATTTTTTTTTTAATAATTTAATTAATTATTATATTTTATATTTAAAAGAAAAATTAATATTTTTTATTTTATTAATAATTTAAATATTTATTAAAATTTATTCAATTTTTTTTTCTTGAAAAAATTTAAAATTTATCTTATATTTTTTCATAATTTAAATAAATAAAAATAACTTCAAAAAAATAAAAAATTTCAACAATATATTATTTATTTATAAAAAAAATATAAAGTAAAAATTCTTATTAAAATAAATAAATAAATAAACTTTAATAATTACTTTTTAAGTATTTCTACATTAAAAAAAATAAAACAAAATTAATATATTATTTATATTCGAAATAATAAAAAGTAGAAACTTAATTAAATCTAGTTATATACAAAAAAAAAACAAAAAAAAGCATATTTCCAAAAAATCTAAAATTAAAAAAAATATATATATATATATTAAAAAATGGAAGAAAATACTCAAATGTTCGCTGATATAAAAAGCGATTAAGAACGTAAAAAATCATATATATAAATACATAAGTTAAAAAAAAAGCTATGGTAATCGAAAGCATGTGTATAAACTGTGAAGAAAACGGCAAAACAACTTTATTAATGGTAACCATCCCAATGTTCAAATAAATCATATTAATGTCCTTTTGTTGCGAAACCTGCGGTTATAGGAACTCTGAAGTCCAATTTGGTGGAAAACTAAATGACTATGCTTCTAGAATAACATTAAAAGTGAAAGACATATCTGATTTTAAACGAGATTGTGTAAAAAGTGAACATTGTACTATAAGAATATCTGAATTAGATCTAGAAATACCTTCATCTGGTAAAGGATCAGTGAATACAATCGAGGGATTTTTAATGAACGCAGTTTAGGACTTAGAGAGTGATTAAGAAGAGAGGAAAGTAAAAATTCCGGAAATGTTTGAAAAAATAAAAAATTTCATAGAAAAATTAAATAAATTGATTGAAGGAAAAGCGTTTCCTTTTACCTTCATTTTCGAAGATCCTTCTGGAAATTCGTTTATTAAAAACCCATATGCACCACATAATGATCCTAATTTACATATAGAAAAAATATCTAGGACCAAAGAATAATTAGAGGCAATGGGATATTCAGCAGAAAACGCGATTATGAATATAAATTAGGAATAAATGGATACTTAAAAAGTAGAAAGAATAATATAATTAGATGCCCATAGAGTAGATTTCTCAAAACCATTGACTGAGGATGTCAAGGGAGAATCTTTAGTGTTCAAAGTACCGTGTCATTCCTGTGGATTGGAAGGCGAATAGAAAATGTGCTCTACTTCAATTCCTTATTTTAAAGAACTTATAATTATGTCTTTCTTATGTGGGTTTTGTGGAAGTAAGTCTACTGAAGTTAAACCTGGCGGCGAAATGAGTGCTTTAGGTAGAAAAATTGTACTCAAAGTGGAGACTTAAGATGATTTGAGGAGAGATATTTATAAATCGGAAACTTGCTTTGTGGAAATACCGGAATTAGAACTAGAATTGTAAGCAGGAACATTGGGAGGAGTATATACTACAGTGGAGGGATTGTTGGAAAAAATTTAGGATAATTTAGTAGAAAATAATCCTTTTGTAGGGGATAGTGTTGATCCTATGTTCAAAGTAAATATGGATAAATTTATTGAAAATATTAATAAAATTAGAAATTTAGAGTCTAAATTTGTAATTATTTTTAGAGATATTGGAGATAACTCGTTTATTCAAAATCCATATTTCCCAAATAATGACCCCAGAGTAATAAGTGAGACATTCGAAAGAACTTTTGAAGATAATGAAGAATTAGGAATTAATGATATGAAAGTAGAAAATTATGGAGAATAATTAGAAAATAACGAAGTTAATAAAAATTGATTAATATTTATATGTATTTGTATTTTAGATTAAATAATTATTAATGATAAATAAAAAATATATATATATATATATATATATTATATATATTTATATATATACATATATAATTATATAAATTATCATCTTATCTTTTGACATTAGGGCCTATAATGTATTTTAAGTTCCCAATTTATTTTCTTACTTTTTAAATTAATTTCTTTCTACATTTCATGTGCCTCTAATTTTTAATATTTTATTTATATTTTTAAATTTGAGATTTTCTATAATAAAATTTGAATGCATTAATTTAAGAGACATTAAATATTTTGAATCTTTTCTAAAGAAAGTTAAAATGTATATTTTTTTTGAATTTTATATATACTCTACTTTTAGCTTACTATGAATATTTATTTCGAATTTAAAGATGTTAAATTTTTAGTCTTCTAGTAATTTTTGACAGATTTTTTAATTCAAATTTTCAAATAATTTTTAATTTTAATTTTTTGTTTCTTTTTATTATTTTAAGGAATATGATTTATAACTAATGAATATTTTTCTATATTTTACTTATTTTTGTTTATGTCTATATTTTTTTATTTTTTTTAGAATTCTCCTCAAAAAATTCGCATAGACTTTATTTATTTATACAATTATTTTTATATTAGGCACAGTACACGGCCAGATTAATAATATTTTGTAAAATGTATATTCTAGTTTATATTTAAAGCATAATATCTTTAAGTAAAACTGCTTATTAAATAGATAGAAGACGTTATTTTAATTTTTTTTTCTATTGTCATATTATATTAATATTTTTTACTTTAATTTTTATTAATAGATATTCTTTTGAATAAATATAGAACATTTTTTAAAAAATTATATTAAATATTTATTAATAAAAGATTAATTAAAATATGTTATATAAAAACTTTTAAAAATTAAATACATTTATGTTAATAATAAAAATTATATTATAATTATATATATATATTTACTTTATGATTAGTAATAATAAAAATCTTATATATATTATTTATATATATATATATATATTATATTTATATAATATTCAATTAATTAAATATTCAATTACACTAATAAACTATTTCTAGCAATTATCCATCGCCAATTAAACTGTATGTACTTACCTATAATTAAACAAGGATCCATAATAATTCGAATATGGTAAAAACTTATTATCTTTATCATAAATAGTTGCCTTTAAAAATTCTTTAACATTAACCCACATTAAATTTTCTACACATTTATAAACTCTCTATGTATTTTAGGAATCATTAAAAAACTAAACTTTTCTATTTACCAAAATTTCCACTAAATACACAAAAGCTGCGATTTCTCCATTTGCAGCTGCATAATGTAATGAATTCCAATTATTAGTACCAGGTTATAGTATTAATTCTTTTTAAATTTCTTCTTTTTTTCCTTCCAATATATGTGCAAGAGATGGAATATGTCCTATAGCAGCTGCTTTGCAAATTAAATATTATAAATCATTAATGCTTTCATCCATATTTTAGAAAAAATACTTAAATAAACTATAAATATTTTTCGGTTCTATTACTATTTCCTTAGAATCATACGGGAAATTGAAATTTAAAAGGTTTTTCTTCCATAAACCCTCATCCTCTATATTTTCGATTTCACTATATAAGTTTCTATATGAATAATACCTAGGCATAATCTCTACTGAAAGATCCACTTTTTTCACTTATCCAAACCACTTTAAAATACATTCATATACCCCTTTTTATTCACTATCTCTTATCCAATTACCCCCAACGTACTTTATAGTCTACAAACTTTACACAGAAACTGAATCTAGTCTAATAAATTAATTATTAGGATACTAAGGAGCTATTCTAATGTAGTTTTTACCCAAAATACAGCTTGTTTCGGCTATCGAATGTTCGAAATTTATTCCGCACATAGCAAAATATTACTCGTAGTAAGTTTCGGGGTTTATGAGACTTTTTAGGGACTAAAGAAGTCCTTAGAACATAGTCTTTGCCCTTTCTAAAATTTAAGAAGAAGTCATAATTTCTGATGGGGCGTTTCCGAGGCTTAATATTTTAATTTTTTCAGGTAAAAAACCATCTTGTTTCAACAGATTAAGTAATAAAATATCCACATTGTTAAATAAAAAGCCGCCATCAACATACTATTTTTCATTTATAATTTTAGCAGCAAAGAAAGGGTAAGCGGCAGAACTTGCTCTTGCAATGTCTCTAATTTTAGTGTTCTAAAAAGCCTAATCTACTTCTGGATTTGCATGCATTCCATAAATTTCGCTTTTGCCGCATTTTTTAGGCGTCTTAATAAATACTACAGGGCACATTTTGTCATTTTGGATCTCACAGGAAGTAATTAGAACGGTTTTGAAATATCTTGTAGTGTTTTTTCACCAAAAAAGGCCGCAAGTTCTTTTTCTAACCCATCCTTATCATATAAAGAGTATTTTAAATCAGTGTTTATATCATTAGATTCTGCTTGAATACCCAAAATATATCTAAGGTAGTGTTTGGTAGAAAATATATGGTTTTTAGTGTTTCCTATAAATTTATAAAGAAGTTCTTTAGCAGTATGACCGCAAGCCAAAGCTAATGACATAATTCCGCCAATCGATGTTCCGGCAAATGTATCGAATAATTCAAAGCATTTTTTATTTGTTTTTTATTCCAATTCACTTAGGAATATTAACTAGAGAATTCCACGAATACCACCTCCATCTAAACATAAACATTTTAAATCTTAATATATATTTTCTTATAATTATATATATTAACTATTTGCTTATTATTATTATGAATTTTCTTATATTTATTATGTATTTTCTTATTTTTATACTATATTTTAGATATTTTCATATATTGTTTCATCTTTTTAAGTATTTTCTTATATTTCCTAATCTTTTTAGGTATTTTCTTATTTATATTATACATTAAAGGTATTTTATTATATTTTTTAAACTTCTTAAGATATATTTAATTAAGGTTTGTCTTTTATGTTTTATTGTATTTATTATATTTTGTAATTTTCTATTTCTTTTTTATTTGCTGTTAGTATATAGAAAGTACCCAAAAGATGAGCTTTAGCTTTTTCAGAAATATCTAATTCTTGTATTTTTTGGATAATTTCAGAAAATGGTATTTTATGGTATTATAAAATTAATAATTGAACTGGATCTTTTAATTCAAATATTTTATTTAAGCAGATTTTTTCGATATTTTTTATTTCCTCTACTAAGCCATTTTTTAAATTTATATCTTAAATTTCAATCCATGTCAGTAAATATTGCTCACATTTAAATTAAAGGGTCAATTTTTTAATAATAAATTAAATTTCATTTTTCTCTTTTTCTTCTTATTTTAAATACTAATTTTAATTCTAAAAAATCAGAAAAGGAAATTCCTTTATAAGTTAGAAAACTTTTTAAGTTTTTTAAGTCCATTATTATCCAAAATGGCTTTAAATAATAGAGCTTTTAGAAGATAATATTAATGAAAGTTATTCAAGATCATTTAATTATAAAGAAGCAATTATATCAATCAATGACTCATCAAGAAAATCATCAAATTCTTTAAAATGTCTAAATATATATAAATAAAATAAATATATAAAAATATATATATTTATATATATTTATATATATATTAAATTTATATATATATATTTTTATATTTATATATATATAAATGTTTTATATAATATATATTATTTTTACGTTTATTAGTTTTTTTCAAAATCTTAAATTTTATAAATAAAACAAGGATTTGTATAATCAACAATTAATTTTAGTATATAAATTTCAGCAATATTTTTTTCATTTGTATTTTATATTATTTCTTCCAAAATTATATTAAGACTTTATTCGTTTTCCATTATTTTTTTTATAGTTTTTTTATAATAAATTTTAAATTAAAGCAAAAGCATTTTGTGTATTTTTTCAAGAGTCGTTTTATCAAAACAATCATATTCATATATTAAATCGTTTATTTTTTCAAAAAAAGTAGAATTTTCGTTATCTAATATTACTTATATGGTTTTGTTTTCATTTATTTAGGATATATTTTTTATTAGATCATTTTTTTCTGATATTAAGTATATATAATTGGATGCTTTAGATATATTTTTTTATATATAGCTAATTAAATCTTGAATTTATTTTATTTTTTAAGTTTCTAAATCTACTTATGTATTTTAATTTTTATATTGAATATTTATTTTCATATTTTATAATTTAATTTTTTTTAATATTTTTTTTTTAATATTTTTTTTTTAATATAATTTTTTTTTTATTAAAGCTTATTTATATATATATTTTTTTTCCTTTGTTTTGAATTATAGACTTATTTTTTTAAAAAAAGTAGTATTAAATTTTTATTTTATAATTTTATAAGGAAGTATTTGTCTATATTATGAGTAAAAATACATATTATGAAAATTTCTTTAAATTATATACATTTTAAAAATTCTTTAAATATACTATAATATCAAATACTATTTTAGAATAACATTCATATATTTATTAAAAAAATAAATAAATAATATTCTTAATTTTCGAATATATGATGTGGATAATAAAAAAATATATATTTTTAATTTTTTTTTAAAAGAATAATAATAATAATATCATATATGAAATTTTTATAAGAAAATAATTATTATAAAATATTATTAATATTTTTTTTTAGGCGAAAAATAAACAAATAACTATTAGCTTAACTATTAAAATATTTTATAAAATAATATAATTATTTATAAACTAAAAATTTAAATATATATATATATATATATATATTAATATTATATATTTTTCAATTAATTGATTTTCTTAAAGAAGTGCAAACTGATAAAATAGAACAAGTTTTTTATTTATTGCAATATCCAGGTAACTAAATTGTCTCAAATTTACTATTTCTTTTATTAATATATTCTTATAAATCGTTAGGAACCTAATCAATACTAATCATAACCCTATCTGTAGGATTTTAAGCTACAGTTTCATAATAAAAGTTATCTTAAAGTCCTTTTTGGTTCCATTTATAAACAGTTTATCCTTAATATTCAGTTTATCCCAAGAACTAAGCCCCATTAAGCCAATCAGGTTTTAGTATTCCACACCCATGTTCATTCGAACAACAATAGCAGCAATCATTTTTTTAAGGATAATGTAAAAATCTATCCCCATTAACAACTATATGTTCACATTATGTATTTTAAAATGCATATAATCCATTAAAGCCACAATATCTGTCAAAACGACCATTATCTCTAGAAATTTTGTAAGTTTTCGTATCATAATCATATAAGATAGTTCCTTTAGTTTATTATTTAATAAATCCATATGTAAATGTTTCAGTAAAGTTTTATTAGAATTTGTTCGGCCATTTAGGATCAGAGGGAATTTCACAGTATAAACAAGTGAGAGTTAGTTATAATATTAAAGCGAATTTTATCATGTTTTTTTTTTGTTTTTTTAATATATATAAAATAATTCTGTTTTATTTATTTATATATTATAAATCTGTATTTATATAAATTTTAATAAATAATTTTTGTGAAGAATAAATGTTTGTTTTTTAATTGTTATTAATGTATAATTTTTTTATTTTTTTTCTTTCTTTCTTTTTTTCTTTCTTTCTTTCTTTCTTTCTTTCTTTTTTTTTCTTTTTTTTTTCTTTTTTTTTAAGTGATTCTAAAAATAAGATATTTTTGTTTTTTTTATATATATAAATATATATTATTTATACATATATTTATTCTTTTTGTATAAAACTATTTTCATTTTATTTTATTTTTAATAAATATTTTTAAATATAATAATTCTAAATTTGTTAATTTTTTTTTTATCTTTTATTTATTATTTTTTCCCAAAAAAAATGCTATAATATTTAAATATTATTTTATAAAATTATTAATTATTAGATAAATTTATTTAAAAATGTAATTAATAAGCATATAAAATATTAGCAAATTTTTGTTAAAAAATTTAAATTAATTGATTATATTACAAATAATTTTGAATTTTACAATACAAAATTTTTAACTATTTAAAAAAATGTAACTTTTTGAAAATATAATTTTAATTAATTTATTATATTTATATATTATATTTTTGTTTAATTTCCTATATTTTATTTTTTTAATATAATCTACATATTATAAATTAAAATGATTTAAAATTTATTTATATATATATATATTTTTATAAAATAAAATGATTTTAATTAATATTTAATTTTAGATATAATAGAAAATATAAAATATATATTTAAAATAATTTATTAAGAATTATTTTTTCTTTATTTTGAATTAATAATATATATATTTATAACTTTAAAAATTAGCTTGAATTAAATAATATTAAAATGATTAATTAATTAAAATAATTATTAATATTAATCAATATATTACTTTAAAAAAAATATATAAACTTATTTTCAATATTTTCATAATTGCTAATTGGTAAATTAAACATAATGAATTTACATAAAAAATACAATATTACATTTAACTTATTTTAAAACATTCTCCAAACAAAACAAAATATAATTTATAATTAAGTAAATATATAATAAATTTATATATTATTTTAGCTCTAAAATTTCTGATTAAAATTATCTTAAATTTATTCAATAATTAGCGATGATTTAAGTAAAATTGCCTATAAAAAACAGTTAATTTATTATAAGAACTACTCTATAAAATAAATAATTATATTTATATTAAAAAACAATGTATAAATAAATTAAATTGCAACAGTCAAAATTTTATAAATCTTTTTTTTTTATAAATTGATGAAATTAATAACTAAACAATTAATCATTAAAATAATAATTAATTGAAAAATAAATTTTTAAATGTAAATTAAGAAGGTGTATATAATTAATTAGATTTAATAATAAAAAAATATAAAAATAATTATATTAAAAAAAAAAATAAGTTTAAGACATTGCATATTATAATTAAATTGAAATTATATAAAATTTATTAAACATAATTTCAAGATAAAATAAGAATTTTAAAATCTTTTGTATTGGCTTAAAATAGATAAAACTAATATAATTTAAATTAATTAATTAAACAATAAAAAACTATAATAATTAAATTTAATAATATTAATTGAAAAAAAATGTAAATATTTAAGAAAATAAACAATATGAATAAAAAATATGAAAAAAAAAATTATGTGAAATATTTAATTATTTTATATTTATATCTTCATAATTAAAAAAATTATATATTAATAAAAATAATATTTATGTAAATATAAATTAATTTAAAATAGTTATTAATATATAAAAAAATAAAAATAAATATTGCTTTATTTTATTAAATTTTAAATAAAAATTAAAAAGAAATTATATATTATATATAATAAAATTAATATAGAAATTTTCTTTTAAAATATATAAAAAAATAGTATAAATAAATATAAAAAAATTTTAAAAATTAAAATAAATATATATATATATATAAATATATAATTATTATATATATATATATATATATATTTTAATATCATATATTCATATTATATATTATATTTTATTTATTATAAAATTAAAGTAAAAAATTTTTTTGTTATTATTATTATATATTTAATATAAATCATAAAATTTTATAATTAAAGTCGGCAAAAACAGCTTAGTGATCACTACAATAATGTACTTTACAAAATTAATTTTCTATTAAACTTTAACATGAGCATTTTTAATCCTAAGTTTTAATATCTATAACACTTAGTTGTTTTCCTCTAAAAAGTATTCTATCAATTCTATATGAGCAAAAGCTATTTTAATATATATTTTTTTCACTAGAACAGTCTAAAAATCCATCTTTTTCTTATAAGTTATTTTCTAATTAAGTTATTTTTTAATTCCAATATTCATTAAAATCAGCTGCAATAATTTAATTTTCAGAATTAAATTGTTAATCTAAAATATTTCTTAGTTCTATTAATTAAATTATTTAATCTTATTATTTATAACTTAAATGACTCACGATTATTTAAACTAAATTTTTCTATTCAATTTAAACTTTAAAAATACATGCAGTCCTCTAATTCCCATCATTTCCAGGAAAAGGGAGCAATTTTTAATCGAAATTTAAAATCGGGTATTTACTTAAAAAACCTAATCCTTCCATTTTAAAAGGAATATAATCTTAAATTCTATAAATCATGGAAGGAATAAATACAGAATTATAATATTCATGATTATTTTATATTTTATTTATCTCGCTAATAATTTTTTCGAGTTAATTGTTCTTTTTAAAAAAGAAATTTTCACGTATTTCCTAAAAAGCAACAAAATCTGGATTTTATTCAATTATGTATTTTGCTATATTTTTAGCACGGAAATTATAGAAAAATTTGTGGTCATCTTAATTTGCAATATTAAATGTCATTATTCTAAATTAGATATTTTTTTAATGTTCCTGATGTGTTTTTGGTTAAGCGTTTATTTATTAAATCTTATATTTTTATATTTAAAAATAATTATTATTTAGAATATTTCCCATTTTATTTATTTTTGTTTTTTAATATTATTAAAATTTTTTAAATATTCTTTTTATATATTTTTTGTTTTTTAAAAATAAAAAAGAACATAGAAACATTCTTTTTTTGGATGAATATTAATAAATAATAGTTTTTATCAATAAAAGAGTTAGAAAAGATATTTAACGTTTGATAATAGGATAATTAAATTTTATTTATATGTTTAATTATAGAATATTAATTATACAATCGAAATGGGAGAAATATTATTTGATTTTTTTATTATTTTAAAATCATAAAAAAATCTAGTTTTTATAACAAATAAATAATAATGAAAAAATGCATTTTTTTCTAAAAATAATATAAAAATAATTTTACCATATTATTCTTCTATATACATCTTAAAAATTAGAATTCTTATATATATATATATATATATATAATTACAAACAATATAGTTTTATATTGTTTATTTTATATTAAATTTATTTAAATTATTAATGTTTGAATAAATATTTTCTTTTTTATTTATAATAAAATTTTATATATAGCAGATAATAAAAAATACAACAAAATTTTTACAAATAATCTTTTGTTTTAATATACTAAATAAAAGTATATAAATTAATTAATTTTTTAAAAATATTTAAATAATTTCTTATATTAGAAAGAATCATCATTAGTTTTTGTTAGTAACATAATTCTTAATTTTAGGATTATTAATATAAATAAGCGAACTTTTAAATAAAATAAACTATAATTAAGAAAGTTTAAAGATAATACTATAATTTTTCAAAAATTATTGCTTAAATTTTTGAAATTTATATCATATCTTTAATTTTTAGTATATTATTTTATATAAATAATTTAATTTGTAAAATATATAATAGCAATTCTTTTTTAAAAATTCTAAAGTAATTTAATTTTTTCTTATTTATATTAAAAAAAATATTTTGAGTTATAAAAACTCAATATAATGATAAAAATATCAAATTATAATCTAAAATATATTTATAAAAATCAATTATAATATTTTATACACTATTAAAATTTAAGAAATATTAACTAAAATAAAAAAATAATAAAAAATCAAATGAAAATTCCATAATTTCTAATATAATAACATGTTTTAGACATTCTTTAGTTAACACTACATAAAGAAATAAATATAAAAAAAAATTAAAAAAAGATTTAGATTTAACTCTGCATTGTAGGCATTAGTTTTTACAAAAAAACCTTATCTAAAATTTCAAAATTAAGGGTTTTCACTTAATTCAGGAAATAAATAAAACAGTAAAAATGGTTTAATTTTTTTAAATAAAAATAAAAAAAAATTAGATAAAATTTATTTCAAAATACTATAAAAAAAAAAAAATCTTGAAAAAAATATCAGTAAAATAGAATATAATCCATTATATTATTCATTAATATGAAGAATTTTTTTTATGGCAAATTTGTTTAATCTTTTTTTAAAAAAAACATTAAATTGAAATAAAAAATGAAGTTTTAATATAAGAATTTATAGAAAACATTAATTTTAAAATATTAAGAAAAAATCTTAAAAAATATTTTATTTAGATTTAATATAAAAAATAAAAAAAAAAAAAAAACTTAATTGAAAAAAAAAAAAATATAAAGAAAAAATATCAAAATTATAAATAAAAATAACAGGTATATAATTGCTAACATTTTAGTATTTTTATATTAAATAAGATAATAAAGATTATTATAAATTTTTATTTTATTTTTTTATATGTAAAGTTTAATATAGTTATGAAAAATAATAATAATAATATACTATTTTAATGTATTTAACATTATAAGTTTTCAATAATGAATTTTTTAAAATAATATAATTATAAATGATCTATTAAATATAAGAAATAAAAATTATATAAAGAAAAAATAATTAATTAGATTTTAAAATACAACAATATAATTTAAAATAAATTTAAAAAA